CTGTCCCCGTTCCCCCAGCGCCAGCCCCGTCCCAGCCCCTGTCCCCATCTCTGTCCCTGTCCCCATGTGTGTCCCCTGTCCCGCAGGTGTGCGACAGCATCCTCAACATCGGCCCCTGCGCCAACGCGGCCATGGGGGAGCCGGCCTTCCTGTCCGAGGAGGTGCGTCCGCCTGTCGCGCCCGCGCCTGTGCCCGGGGCTGTGGCACGCGCTGACTGTATCCCCCGCAACAACCGCAGTTTCAGAACAGCCCCGAGCCCGACCTGGAGATCGTGCTTTGCTCCGGCTACGGCAAGAACGGCGCCCTCTCCGTGCTGCAGGTGGGTGTGCGGGGACAGCGGTGACAACAGGCGTGGTGACGGTGACAACAGGGATGGTGACGGGAGCCGCGCGCGGCCCGCGCACCGCCCGAGGCCTGCGCTGGTGAGGAGTGTCCGGCGCAGGTCAGGTACCGGTGCTACAGCATCACCTAGGCCAACCAGGGCTGCCCCCGGAGCTGTTGGCGCCGCCTGTACATGCCTAGGCACAGCCGCAGCGCCGCCGCCTGTTGCGGGCGCTGCTGCCTGTTGTGGGTGCGGGGGGAGGCTCTTCCCCAGTCCTGACTTCTCTTGGGTGCCACCGCCTGTTGCGGCTGCCATGACCTGTTGTGGGCACCTCTGCCTGTCATGGGCTCCACCGCCTGTTGCGGGCACTGCTGCCTGTTGCCGGCGCACCGGGGAGCCTCCTCCCCAGCCCCAACCTCTCGCAGGCGCCGCTGCCTGTTGCGGGCACCTCTGCCTGTTGTGGGTGCAGCCGCCTGTTGCGGGCACTGCTGCCTGTTGCCGGCACACCGGGGAGCCTCCTCCCCAGCTGCAACATCTCGCGGGCGCCGCCGCCTGTTGCGGGCACCTCCGCCTGTTGCGGGCTCCGCCACCTGTTGTGGGTGCACCAGGGAGCCCCTTCCCCAGCCCTGACCTCTCCCGGGCACCTCTGCCTGTTGTGGGCACCTGTACCTGTTGCGGGCGCTTCTGCCTGTTGTGGGTGCAGCCGCCTGTTGTGGGCAC